ACAGAGCTGGGCTTACAGAGGGACAAGCCCCCATTTGCCCTGGGCTCACAGGGGGCAGTTTGGATTCTGCCTGGAACAATCTGTGTCCCCCAGAGCAGCCTCCTGAGGGATGTGCATCCACCTCAGGGCTCCACTTTGGCTGTGCCTTCTCTGGCTAAAACCCACACAACAACCCAAAGCCCAGCCTGGGGGTCACTTGCCTTTTCTGCAAACACTGGGTTGCCAGAGAGCTCGGAGAGGTGCAGGAATTCCAGGTGCAAGGTCCCAAATTCTGCCAAGATGCTGCTTCCAGCTGACGCCCAGCCCCAGCTCCAGCTCATGCCACTGCAAGGAGAGGAAAGGGAGCCCTGAGTGCCAGGAAAACCCAGCCAGAGCCTGGGGTGCCCCACCTGGGGAGTCCCAGGGCAGCTCTGCCTCTGCCAGGTCCATGTGCTGCACCCCAGTGTCATCAGGGCATGGGAAGGACACACACTGAGGACACACTCACACATTTAGGACACACTCACAGATTTCCAGCAGCAGTTCCAGTGGGATGGAATGTGATTTTCCAGAGATTGTTTAGGATTAGGCTAACACACAGACTGCACAAACTGCATTATTTTTATTTTTTTTTTCTGGTGGGAAAGGAATCCCTCCTGAACAGCTCAGCTGAAAACCAGCACTGCCACCGTGCCCTACACAGAGATTTTGGGATAAAATACCCTTTTGGAGTAAAATACCCTTTTGGGATTAAACACCCACAGCTCTGGGCCTCTCTGGAACCCCCCAGCCAGGACAATGTCCTGGAGGATTTGGGGTTGGATAGAAGGACTCGGTCCCAAAGCAGCCTCTGGGTGCTGCCCCAGGGCCACCCCCGAGGTGTCCTGGCTCATTTTTTTTGTCTCCTGGCCCTAAATCCCGGGGAGGGGACAGGGAAGGGTGGGGGTGACACTAGATGGCGCCGGGCAGCTTGGCTGGGAGACGAGAAGGGTTTGTTGTTTACGGGAGGTTGAAACTAATGATCCTTCTGAGCATGAAAATAAAAAATAAAAAAAAAGAAGTTTCCCTCGCTGTGATGGAGAGAAAAGCACAGCAGGTCCCGAGCTGTTTGCCACCTCCAGACTAAGAGAGCCATTAGATATATATATATATATATATATTCAGATATATTTAAATAAGCAATATATTCACAGTGGCTCAGTCCCTGCCCTGGGAGTGCAGCCCCAAGGGGCACCCCAGGAGCCGGGGGGGCTCTGCCAGCCTGTCCTGGCCAGGTGAGCCCAGGTGAGCGTGGCTTTAATGCCCCTCTGAACCAACCTGCTGAGCTGGGAGCTGCTGGGGGAGCTGCCAAACCTGGGAAAGGATAAATTCCTTCCCTTCACTGATCACTGCAGGGAGGCTGGAGCAAACACAGCAGAGATGGGTCTGGAGCCCATGTGCACCATGCCTGGGTTAGAGCAGCCTGCAGGGAACCCCTGCAGCAAAACATTTCAGTGACCCCTGCAGGAAAACATTTCAGTGACCCCTGCAGCAAAACATTTCAGTGACCCCTGCAGCAAAACATTTCTTACAGGCTGGACAAACTGGGCCTGCACAGCTTTGGAACAGCTCAGAGGAAGCTGCTGGTTAAAGGACCTTGGCCTCCAAGAGAAAAGAACAGGCCCAGAACCTCCCTTATCTCCCTGATAAGAGGGTCTGAAATGTGGAATCATTGCCTTCCCTCGTGGGGATCCAAAGCAGCAAAACCAAGTCAGGAGAGAGGCCAGGGGAGGATGATGAGGGAAGATCTGGAGGTACAGAGGGGCTGAAGGAAAGCAGGGCCAGGGCCCAGGCAGAGATCCCAGAGCAGAAGACAGAGCACACAGAGCACTGCAGGCCCTGGCAGCTGGAGCAGCAGGATGGAAACCAGGCTGTGAGAGACAGGACACAGGGCCAGGGGGAAGCAGGAGGCCACGGGAAGCTCATCAGCAGAGAGGGGACCCCAGAGGAAAAAGGTGACAGCAGGAGATAAAGGCAGCTGGTAATGGAAGAGCTGGGGCCTCGAAAATTAATGTGCAGAACTGACTCAGTGCCAGGGGGTTTTTTTGTTATCAAATTTCTGAATGCCCTTCTTAATTCACCCCCCCAAGCTGCCACCAGGAGAGGCCCACACACATTTCAGGACTCTCCTCCTTTTGGGATGGGCAGCTCTCCCTGGAATTAGCACAGAGCTGCAGACAGAATTCCTCGTTGCAAAACTCTGCTGGGCTTTGTTTTGGCTCTGGTGTTCGGGTCAGTGTGGTCCCACAGCCTCACTCCACACGGAGAAATTCCCTTCCCTTCCCTGTGGCTTTTCCAGCCCTTGGCTGCTCTCGGTGCTGCTGCAGGAGCTCGGGCTGTGCGTGCAGCTCCTCCATCAATCCACACTCCAGCCCTCGCAGCAGCTCCAAAAACAAAAGCCCGAGCTCCAGGCAGCGCTGGGGGCTCTGGGATGGGTGTTCTGTCGATTTTCTCTGCTCTCACTCAAGGTCATCAGCAAAACATTTTGGGAATGTCTGGGCAGACAGAGGCAGCTTCAATTGTCTTCACAAAGGGCAGGGGAGGGTTTGGCATTTCTGTGAAAGGTTAGTCCATGCAGAGCCTTTATCAGCCACAGAGGAAGCAGGATGTGTGTGCTGTAAAAAAGGACAATTACAGTGCTGCTGGTGCCTCCAATTTCGCCGGGATCAGGAGCACACATCACACAGCTGAGGGGTGACACTGATATTTGAGCAACAGCAGCGTGACACAAACATTTGGATTTCACAGAGCCAAGGAGGAGATTTGGGCTAAGGGCTGGATAATGACTTGGAGAGTTTCACAGGAGGTGAGGATGAAAGGCTTTCTTAACCCACATTTTGTTTGTTAACCCACATTTCCTGCAGCTCTCACCCCTGCATTTGTCTGGAGGCATCAGAACCAGCAAATCCAAATCCCTGCCTGGCTGGCAGGGAATTGTCTGCCAGGAGCAGCCCCAGCTCTGCCTCTGTTTGCTGCCAGACCTTCTGCAGGGATTTAGTGAACTCAGCTGCCTCCCCTGGCCATGAGAACATCACCAACCCCAATTCTGGGGCTCTAGGGAAGGACAGAAGGGCTCTGTGCTGTATTCTCCCCCCTTTTCCAGCACCAAAACTGTCAGCCAGTCCCATCCACTCCCTTGCCGAGTTTTTCCAATTTTTAATCCATTTTTCCTGGATAAATTCAGCTGGGCACACTGCAAAAATCCACGCTATGAGCAGACTACAAAATCACCTTTCAAAGAAAATGAGAGTGAGGAAAATGCTCCTGCAGCAGGGAGCCCTGTCAGGAGGCAGAGGAGGCAACTATGGACAGCCCCAAATTAATAAAACAGAGCTGGGCTCGACCTGAGTCACCTGCAGTCTGTGCCAAGCTCTGAGCTGGCAAAGCAAATGCCCTCGAGGAAAATGCTGCAGAGGGGCAGCTCTGAGGAAAAGCTGCTCCTCCCAAACTCCCAGAACTAAAGGAAATGCTGCTGAGCCTTGTGCCTTGCCTGCCCAGGTTGATGACTCCACGTGGGATTCCAGTGGGGGTGTTGAAGGCTGGCAGAAGTTTCTCTCCAAGTTCCAGAGCTTTGCTCTTGAACACCTGTTAAAAAGGGAGGATAAATATTTAATTAAATGAGTCACACAAGGTTCTCTCACATCCCCTTTTCCAAACATGCTGCTATAAAACACTGCAGTCTGAGAACTCCCTGCTCCAGGTGTGCTGTGCCCTGGTTGCCCTGCACAAAAAAATCTGAACCAAAAGTCTCACTGAACTTTGGCATCTCTGAATTTCCTCCAAAATCTGCACTAAACCAGCACCCAGAGCCCTGCCAAAGCCTCAGCCTGGAGCAGACAGCTCACAACAGCACCCTGAGATCTGAGCTGACCCAAAGACTGCTCTCCAAATTCTTGCCATTCCCAGCATGGCAGAGAACACAAGAAGCTGAAATGACTGAGTTCAAATCAGAAGAAATCTTTCTGGGCTGGAGCACTGTTAGATTTACAAGGTGGGCTTGCCCAGCTCATGTCACCTCCTGTTGTAAAAACCAAGATCTCCAAGGACCCATCTTCTCCTTGCAACTCTTTGCCAAGGAGGATTCGTGGTTTCAAGGCTGAGCTGCTCCTTTTCCCTTGGTAATGTCTCAGTTCTGGGCCTTCCAATCAAACTGCATTCATGGTTTATTTGGGAACTAAGTGCTACAAGCACTAATCTTCACTGCAGAGATTAGTCCTGATCAAGAGAAGCCTCTAAGTGACTTAGGAGATCAAGCACAAGCCTTTTACCTCTAGCCCTGTGCTGGTGGCTCTCAGAAAGCAGGAATCTGTTGCTCTAAAAATACAGCACTGAGGAAACCTGAGCTCTCCTGTGGGCTCCCAGACCTTTGATACCCTCACAGGGAAAGGGGCTGGTCCAGAAGGGAAGGCAGGACACGGGGACTGGGCTTTGCCTTTCAGCCCAGTGGCACTGCCCCAGCTGCTGATGGGACTTCAAGAGGTCACTGCTGCAAGTTTGATGCTTTCATGGGGTTTCTTTTTTGCTCTGTTGATCTGAAACCTGTTGGAGTTGTCACTGAGACAGACTCAGAGTCGGGGCACTGAGTCTTTGAGAGTTTTCCCTGGAGGGAAGTCACAGAAGGAAATCATTCCTGCAACTCATTTAAAATGCAGCTGAAGTAAGAGAGCTGCTCCTGGATCAATGGTGTCACTGTGCAGGAGCCATCCCACCCTCTGTGCTGGGGCAGCACCAGAGCTCAGCTCTCATTTAGGCCCAGTCCTCACAGAACTCCCCCTGAGCCAGAGTTTCAGCTCACCAAAGACTCCCAGGGCAAAGGAATAATCTGCTCATCTCCCTCAGCCAGCTGTAAAACTCCAGCCAGGCACATTATCCAACAGATCATGGCATTATTCCAGGCTGGGGAGGAGGAGGAGGGTGGGAATGAGACCACAGGGCCCTGACAGCCCATCCCAGGGCACTTCACCCCTGCAATCCCTGCCCCAAAGGGGTGCCCAGCAGCACCTGCCCCTCCCCAGCCCCAGGCAGGATCTGTCTGAGGAAACCTCGGCCCACTCAGGAGAGAGGAACAAGTACAAAGATCCTCTGCCAGTGGCATTTCCCCGGGGAGCAATGTGTCCAACTGCAAACGGTGTCTCGCCAGAATTGCCCACAGGAGGAAAAGATCTCTGGCAAATGAGCCGTGCACGGTGAGTGCAAGGTAATTATTGGAGCCTTAATTAAAGGAACATTAGTGGCATTTCCATATTCCCAAAAAGGATGGGTTTATGCTGGTGTTCAGAGGTGCTGGAGAGGCCTCTCAGCCTGTCCCTGGGGGCTGGCAGGGACACTCAGCCCTGGGGGGACACACCTCCTCTCCAGTCAGGTAGTAGGTGGCCAGGAGCCCTCCGATGTAGCGGATGTTCACCTCGAACAGGGAAGCTTCTCCATTCTGCAGAGACACAAACACAGCCCTGAGTGCAGCTCTGTGCCCATCCCACAGCACTCTGTTTGCTCTGGAGGGAAGAGAAACCCCCCAAACCGCCAACATTTGTCACCTGAGTCAGGCAGGGCACGTCACACAATCAATCACAGAACGTCCTGAGCTGCAAGGACCCACCAGGATCCCCCAGCCCAACCCTGGCCCTGCACAGACCCCCCAACAATCCCACCCTGGGCACCCCTGGCAGTGTTGTCCAAACCCTCCTGGAGCTCTTGGGGCCCCAGCACCCTCTGGGGGAAGATCCTTTGCCCAAAGTCCAGCCTAAACTTTCCCTGGCACAGCTGCAGCCAGATCACAGCACAGCTCGTGGGGCTTCAGTCCCTGTCCTGCCTTTCTGGACCACGAGAGCTCCTTGTACAGAGCCAATATTGAATTAATTTCCCCCTGGCCTCCCTGTGCTGTGCTCCCTGACTCCACAGATCAATCCAGAGCATTCACTCTTGTCTTTACAGATCAATCTGTTCTGCAGGCCAAGATTAAAAGCTTTTATGAAATCTAGATAAATTATCTCCCAGTTGATTTTGTCCCTTGTTTATCGATTCAGTAACAGACTGAGACCATTCACCAGATTTATCAGATGTGGGCTGCCTGTTATGAATCCATGAATGCCAGTGGTGCCCTCCCAAATGATGCTTCTCTATAAAGGCAGCTGCAGGCATTGTTCCCGTGGGAGAACCATTCCTCACAACAACTAGACTGGCATTAAACAAATAAAAGTTTTAAGCTGCACTTTGGGTTTTAACATTCTCTGTGTGTGCCACTGATGAGATCCCATCAGCTGGGGATGAGGAATGCAGGAGGAGGCTCCAGAGCAGGGCCAGGGACAGAGGAGGGACAGAGGAGGGACAGGAGCCTTCACTGCCAGAGTCCCCACACAGCCCCACTGTCCAGGAAAGCTCCAGGACCCCAGGCAGAAGCACCTCTGGCCATTTTTAGAGGTGATGCCCTTCCTTCCAAAGCCTGGCTCCCTCTGTGCTCCCCCTCTGCTCTCAGGTGTCACAGCAAAGGGCCCAGACAGGGGGAGCTGGGTTTACAACCTTAATCTAATTTAATTAGAAAATCTCCTCTTATCACAGGCAGACATTTACCTGAGATGAAACACAACTTGTTCTTTGATGAGCAACATTTCCTTGGAGTGTTTAATAATGAGTGTCTGCCTCCATAACCCAGACCAAAACACAAAACCATTGAACATTAAACCTTATTTCCAACCAGACTCGGTGAGGCTGCTCTGGTGGCCCCTGCTGGAAGCAGCAGAAGATTGGGGTGAATTTACTGCACTGCTCCCTTTGGCCTTAGAGACAAAATCATCCCCCGAGTGGTTTTTTTTCCCCCCACAGAGCTCAGGTTTCCCTCCCCACAGGACTCCTGGGGAGGGCTGTGATGGGGACTGGCAGTTTGGGTGACACAGGCACTGCCAGCAGCTGACTCACCACGTTCAAGTCAAAGCTTTTCTCCACCCACTGCTTGGCTTCCTGGAATTCCTCCTCGAGTTCCATGATGTACAGGGTGTCCAAGGCATCGATCACAGTTGCTCCTCGAAGTCCTCCTGCAAAAACACAACACAGGGATGGAGGCACAGCTCTGAATCAGCCTGGGGGGCTGGCACAGGCAGCACTCCCAGTGCTGGGGGTGGCTGGGTGGGCTCCAGACTGGAACCAGCCCCACTGATCCAAGAATCCAGACTGGAACCAGCTCCACTGATCCAGGGCTCCAGACTGGAACCAGCCCCACTGATCCATGGCTCCAGACTGGAACCAGCCCCACTGATCCAAGAATCCAGACTGGAACCAGCTCCACTGATCCAGGGCTCCAGACTGGAACCAGCTCCACTCATCCATGGCTCCAGACTGGAACCAGCTCCACTGATCCAAGAATCCAGACTGGAACCAGCCCCACTGATCCAAGAATCCAGACTGGAACCAGCCCCACTGATCCAAGAATCCAGACTGGAACCAGCCCCACTGATCCATGGCTCCAGACTGGAACCAGCCCCACTGATCCATGGCTCCAGACTGGAACCAGTCCCAGCCATCCCTCTGGGTGTGGCACAGACACGAGGCTGTCTCTGCAGCCCCCACACTCTGCTCAGCTGAGCCACATTCCCACCCAGCCCTGGCAGACTTTTGGGAATCTCTGCCAGCAGAGACGCTTGGATGAGGTTCAGGTTTTGTTTGTGCAGCAGAAGCTCCTGGTACCAACGCTGTCCCCATCACCTCCCTGTCCACAAACACTCCTCACTGCTCTGCCCAGGCATTATTTCTGTTTGGCTCAGGTCAGTTCCTCCTCCTCACTCACAGACTTCCCCAATTCCCCCAGCCTTTCTCTGCACACTCAGATGGGTTTGGCACTTCTGTGAATGCTTCAATTCCAGTTCTGCCTCGGAGAGGAAACCCCAGCTGGATGGGGAGAGGGAGGGAAGGTGAATTGTGTGCCCTGAACGTTTGGAGTGATCTCAGCAGGCACAGAGGGGCAGGGATGATGAGCATCACCCCTGCAGCCCAGAGAAGGGCTCAGATCCACCCATTCCAGGCTCAGATCCACCCATTCCAGGCTCAGACCCACCCATTCCAGGCTCATTCCTCCTCTCCCCTCGGGAAGGCTCCTGCCTTATTTTGTTGATGCTACAAGATTGCAGTTTTGACACTTTTCAGCCAGCCAGCACATCATTGCTTTAATAAAAACCCAAGCAGGACTTTACTGCTCAACTACAGACTGCTGCCTTTAGGATGCTGTCTGCATCAAAAGCAGGGGCTGTGGGAGAGGAGGAAGAAACAACCTCCAGAAATCCATTTATTCCTGCAGGCCTGGGAAATGATCTCCGGACTGGAGCCATCCCTGGGAGTCAAACAGGCACTGGATCAACTGGTGGGCTCTAAAAAATCAGCCAGGCTGGAGTGGGCCTGGAATGTTTGCCAAAAGCACTGAGCATGAAAAACAACAGCACGGCAGGCAGAGCTGCTTTTATCAGCCCTAATGACTCTTCAATATTAATGATTATGTGATTTTTATACACTTTCACAGACGTGACAGGGAGGCAGGGAAAGCATTTTAGAGAGGGGAGGAAGGGAAGGGCAGTGGCACCTGAGGCACAGCCTGGTGCTGTGATTTCTGAGAGGAAAATCACACTACTGGGCTCAGCTTAATTTGATGATATCATCAACAAAAGCCTTTCATAATCTGCAGAGAGACAACGAGGAAAGTTGGGTTTGCTCAAGCTGAATAGAGACAAAGAGACAACAAAGTCTCATTCTGAGGGATGATTAACTGAAATGAGAAACATTGCTGGAACTGACAGAGCCTTGAATGTTTTTTAGCAAGGCTCCGTGTGCTGCTCTGGGGATTGGGAGCAGCTCAGCTCTCCTGCCTGTGTCTGACAAAGTGCAGGGCAAACCTCGCTCCCCTGCTGCTTTGTGCCACGTTCAACATTCGTTTTAAACATTCCCTCACCCCGTGCATCACAAGAACCTCGGGCTGTGTGTTTTGTACCAGGGGCTGGGCTGTGTTTCCTTTTTTCTGCACCAGCTTTGAAGCAGCAGCAAAAGCTCAGAGACTCCTCCAGGAGAGCCCTCCCCACCACATCCACGTCAGGAGGGGTGAAAAGGCAGCACAGGGCAAAGCAGGAGCTGCCAGTCTGTGTCTGTGTGTCTGTCAGTCTGTCTGTGTGTCAGTGTGTCTGTCAGTCTGTCTGTGTGTCTGTCTGTGTGTCTGTCTGTCCCTCTGTGCCAGCACAGGGCACACGGAGCCCCCGAGCCCCAGGCTGGGATTTCTTCCCTCCCTCCTGCCCAGGCCTGGCTCCATCAGAGCAGGGCAGAGCCCCAGGGAGCTGCCAGGGTTTGGGGAGCACGAACACAGCCACCCCGAGTGTGGTGACACCTCTGCCACCTCCTGCCACCTCCTGCCACCTCCTGCCTGCTCTGTCACCTCTGCCACCTCCTGCCTGCTCTGTCACACGCTGCACATCACGGTGGGAGGGTGCAATCGAAGGGGAGGCAGCTCCAAACCAAATCAAAGCCCTCTCTGTCACTTCTGACTCCTGCTGACGCCCTCAGCTCGAAATTGCTGCTTGGAACTTGCTCTGAGGGAGTTTTAAAGCAGGGACCAAGGAACCCTGAGGAGAAACCTTTGTCAGAAACCCTCGTGCAAGAACCCAGAGCTGGGAGCAGCTTTAAGCAGGAGCCCACACCTGAGATGCTGCCTGTCCCCACACACCAAAGTGTGCCATGAAAACCCCTCCTGATCCTGCCCCAAAGTGCCTGAGTGGGGACCCCTTCAGCAGGGACAGCCAGAGCCCCTTTGCTGATCCCAAAAGGGACTCCAGGATCCACAGCAGCTCCTCCCTGCCCTGGCAGAGAAGAGCCACAGAACCCCAGGAGAGCTGAGCTGGATCCCACCAGGATCATCCATTCCCTTCACTGGGAGCAGTGGGGAGAACAGGGAGGAATTCAGGGAGTCTGGGGACATTCCTGGGTGTCACAGCAGCTCTGGGGACAGGGACAGGCTGGTGAGCAGGGCAGGAGCACAAAAAGGTTCATCTCTCCCTGAGCTGGAGGGGGGCCTGTGCCACCCTGCATTTGCTCTTTTGTGCAGCAGAAGAATGGAGAGAGGAGTGTGGGCAACAAGGCTGCTCTGTTCCTGCTCCCACCCACCCCAGGAGCTGTGCTGGGAGCACTAATGAACATTAACTTAATTAACAGAGCGCTGGGGAAAGGTGCTGGGTGGAGTGGAGCTGGCAGTGGTGGCACTGAGGGGGTTTTGCCTTGTTTTGTTTCTTATTTTCTTAATTGTTTTTCTGGTGTTTTTCATTTTGTTTGTTTGTTGGGTTGGGGTTGGCTGGTTTTTTTGGAGATGACTCAGGCTCTAGGAAGGAATTCTGCCCCAAATGAAAAGCCTTGGGGTGAGGTGTTTACAGACTGGGGATCTACTTGGGTGTCCAAGTCCAGACTCACCTGTACCTGCCTCTCCCAACACCTGAACAAGTGGCTTAACCCCAGCACTTACCCAGCACCCAGAGCTTAGCAAATACCAGACTTTCCAAAGAGGAAACATCAGACTTTCCAAAGAGGAAACATCAGATTTTCCAGAGAGGAAATATCTGATTTTCCAGAGAGGAAATATCTGATTTTCCAAAGAGGAGCAGCTGTGATGGGAGGGATGCAGAGCTCTGCCTTCCCTCACTCCCCTCTTCCCAAAATAACCCATGTGGAGCATCACAGGCCACACAGGAGACTTGAAGGGCTCCCAGCTGCAAATCTGTCCCTTGAGAGCCTTTAAAAAAGCCACCAAAGTGATGCTTCAGCAGCCAAGTGGCCAGGAGTGGGGTCTGAAATAGCTTTTGCTCAGGAAGGAGAGATCCTTCCAAAGGCTCTCCTGAATCCACCACACTCTCCCTGCCTGGGGAAGCAGGACCCCAAAGGCCCCCAAAACACAGCCTGGGCTCTGTCTGGGGTTTCAGTTTGGGGTGCAAGGGACAAGGAGGAGCTCAGGGTGTGCCTCTGGAAAGGTGAACACTGCCAGGATTCCCAGGCAGGGGATGGGAGCATCCTCAGCACATCTCCACCAGCTGATGGTCAGGGCTTAGCTCAAATAAAATTATCCTTTCACAGGGTTGAAAAGGGGCCTTAAAGATCATCCAATTCCAGCCTTCCACTGGAAAATTCCTTGTGCTGGATGCCCCCCCTGTTTAGAGGCACTGTGGTTGCCATCAAGTCTTCCCCAGGGATGGGTGGAAGGCCAGGCTGATCCCAGAAAACACAAAGAGAGTTTGGGGAATCTCATCCCTAAAGCCCTCAGCCCCAGGGGGCTGCTCCTGCCATTTGGCACAGCAAAGTTACTCAGTGAGCAGAAAGCAAACCCTTCATTTCCAACAAAGCCATTTCCAACTCCTCACGGTAACTCTTTGTGCCAGAGCCTCCAAGGAGCAGCAAGGGCCATTAGGAAGAGATCAGACTTAATCTTGCATACAGCAGGATTGTTTAAATGCTGCAGAACAGGGGGTTTCAAACAGCTCTTTGCTAACTTTAATAACAGAGTTTACAACTGAAAAGCGAGAGCAGAAGGGGGAGGAATTTACATCAGCACAATGTAAACCCAGATCAAAAATGAAAGGTCTTGACTCCCACTGTTCTTATGTCAAATCCTCTTTGTCAAAACAGAAATTAGCGCTGAAATCTTGTTTGGAATAAAAATGAGGATGCAGTTTCCGTGGAACACGAGGAAGTGGCTGAGTGCCAAGGCACAGGGGGCTCTGGGTGTTCACCTCCACCTCGGGGGGAACACGGGACCCCTGCCCCTGCCCCTGCTGCTCTCAAGGCTCCAATTAAAACCAGGGCCCTGTTACAGCACGAGTCTGACAAATGACCATCGGCAAGTGCTGCTTTTCCTGCTCTTTTTGGTCCTTTTTCTCCATGGCAGGGCTTGGAGAGCAGCCTGAACTCCTGACATTTATCCCAAGATGTGTGTGAGAAGCCTGGAGCTGCCTGGGACTGTGTCAGCACAGCTCCTGCCTGGTGGCAAAATGTCCAATTCTGGGAGAAATCCAAACACAGACGTTTCACACAGCTCAGGATTAGCTTGGCAACCAAGTAAGCTGTGAAAATCACTGCAGCTCCTGGAAAAATCTGCCCTGCAGCCAAGACTTGCCAGTCCCCGTGCCCAGTGCTGCAGGTCAGGCACAAGGAGGGGCTGGAGCAGCTCCTGGGGTGGGCTCTGGGCTTAGGCCAGAGCTCCCTGCCTGCTCTGGGCTTCAGTTCCTCCTGCCAGCCAAAAAAAAAACCCCAAAAAAACCAGGAGGAATTTTCCTCCAAGCGTGAAAAGAGGGTTTAAAGAAAGAGAAATAAGAATGAATTTATCCACCACATCAGAGCTGGTGTCTCTGCTCTCCCCAAGCACTTTGCATCCCTCTCCCCCCTCTGCAATGGTGCAGGACACTCCTCACCTGTTTATTCCTCAATATTTCCTCTCAGCTCTGTCCTCCAGGGCTGGGCACTGAAGAGAAACTCCAGTCACTCTGCCCCACTGCAAGCCCCAAGCCC